GGCAGGCACTGTGCAAGGCACAGGGGACCCAGTGATGGATGAGACACAGTCACTTCCTTCAGAGAGCTCACAGTCATGCTAGGAGACAGACAGATGTGACATGGAAACAGCATACCATAAATAGCAAATGTTCTGTAGTATCGCAAAAATGTGGGAAGACAGAAGCGAGTAGAGAGAGGAGGGAGGGGGAGAATGACCACAAAGACCATAAATGTTTGCTGCAGGGCTTAGGTAATGGTGAATTTCTCTTAAGAGTCACCCTCTGCTAAAGCAATGGCTTTTCATCTTTGTGCTTTCGGTAGCAAATCACTTTTCCAAACTTCTGCACAGATCACCAAGAAATAAAACCAAAGCAGAGGGCATTTACGAAACTGGGAGCAGGGTGAGGATGGGGATGAGGGTGGGGGTCGAGTGCTCTCTGCCTGGCTGCATCCGTGCACCTGCAGTTTCAGAAGCCTGACCTCTGTTCTTCCCGAGGTGGTCATATACTGATTCAGGTTGCTGTTGAGGACCACTCTCCCTTGGAAGGGCTTGGAACCTACAGGCTTGTCATAGGCAAATCTAGAGGTGATCTTGTGATTCCTGCCTTGGGCCCAAACCGGACAGCTAGGCTTTTCTTTTGGGGAAGGGATGCCTAAATAAGATCCAGGTAGGAAGGGATGGATTAGAGTGAGGAATTGGTTTCCATTTCCTAGCGTGGGATGAGTTGGTGGCTTCCTGGAGTTGTGCAGTGTGTGAGCCTGTAAGGGGAGGTGCTGCCAGTGGACAGTGTCTCTGAAAGGGGTCTGTTTGGGACTTGTCAGTGCAGAGAGCTCTGCTGGAAGAGCTGTGCTTTCTGGTCAGACCTTGTCTACAGTTCCCCAGGGAACCCAGGGAGCTCTGTGGGGCTCTCTGCAGGTGGCTAAACGGATACCTGCCGGGAGAAGGTGAGAAGCCAGAGGCCAGCAGAGGTGAGTTCAACCAGGCTGGCACAGGCGAGTTCTGTAGGCGAGTTGGCTGCTCCAGCTCACCTGCGACCCTGGAGAGCGCTTACGGCGCCCTGGACCCTGAGCACATCATTTTCCGTGTATTGGCTTAGTTGATCCTCATAACAACCCCATGCATTAGGTATTATTTTTACCCTCCTTGAGCTAATGAGGAAATTCAGGCACAGAGGTTCCCTGGGTAATTAGTGGTAGAGCTGGCATTCACATTGAGGCAGTCTGGCTTTCCAGAGAATGCACTTGAGAACTTTCTATACATGTCACAGCAGCTTCATGAGAGAGGGATCCTCCAGTGTCCCACAACTGGGGATTCTTACGTGCGACTTCAGCTCTAAGTGACCAGTTGGAGAACACTGTATGTGTAGTTTAATATTAAATACTTTCTGATGCAGGCATGTAGAAGCTGGTGCCAGGCTGCTTTGCTGACTGAACAGAGAGGCTATAAGACAGGGAGTATTCCTCAGAAAGCAGCTCCTGCCTAGAGGTGACTTCCAGCTCTCTTGACCTGTCACTCTGTGCTGGTCTCCCAGCATGCAGCCCCTGGTTAGGGAGACATGGGGGACTCTGGAATCAGGGCTGCAGACCAACAGGGGAATATGTTGGCCTTATTCCTCCTTCCCCGACTAACTCAGCATGCTCCTACCCATGATGCCCTTGGCCGTGTGCTCTTTACAGAAGGGGGGCTTTCTAGCTGTGTGCCTGACTGGCAAGGGAGTTCTGCGAAGGGGCACCCCACACACAGGCAGCTCCTCAGCACCCGCACCCAGGTCTCGTGGATGACAGGTGTGCCAGTGTTAAGTGCTCCCCAGGCGGCTGCGTGGCCCCAGCAGGTGCCCCCTCCAGGCCCTTGGCTTTGGCTATCTTTTCCTGCTTCTTGGTTCTTTCTCTGCTTCCTCACTTTCACTAGAAGTTTGTTTCTTTCTTTGTGAGAAACTTATGAGTAGGTGGTTTGTGGTGGGAGAAGGCAGAGAATGGAAGAATTCTGGATTATCTGTGGGTTTTCATTAACTGCTCTTTCTGTCCCTCATTACCAGGATAAATGAGATTTGCTTCATAAAGGATCAGGATTCTTGTGCCATTTTGCAAGAAGTTGTTAAGGACTTTTTCTTAGAATCAGACATTAAGCTAGAAAAACAAATCCAACATAAAACCCTGAAGCAAAAAAGGAATCCAACAGAAAATGCCATTCTGTTCAAACTTATGGCCTGCAGGAAAAATTTCAAAAATATTCCATCAAAAGGCTAAGCAGCAGGCCTCCCGTTTAAGTTCTGCAACTGTTATAGGATGTCTGTCTTTCACATACCGCTTTGAAACATTACCCTTCTCATCCTGAATGATCAAATGCCTTCTCTCGCTGACTCTCATTCTGTGGTTCTGAATAGGGCAGCTATTGTTCTCCAGCAGGGCATGGTTTCAGTGTCACATCATTCTGGTAAAGTATTGACACAAACCAGCATTATTCCTGGATCTGCCTTTCTCTTTGGTCCCCTTTCTTCTGGGCCTAAAGAGATCACATCCAGAAAAGCAGTTGGGTTTTCTAGGTTGGGGCGGATGCTAGGTACTTCCTAGTGGGCTTTTTGGCCATGAAAGGACTGCTCTGTTCTGCCACCCATGGTGCGTGGGTAGAGACGCGCTGTGGTCACGAGGCAGGGGATGGATTTCCAGAGGTCTCTTGGCTTAAATGCACTACGAAGAACTTTTGTTTCCAAAGTCAATTTATTGAATATTAAGTCATAAAGCCAGTGATATAATTTTAATGAAAAATATCCTGTATCACTCAAGACTTAAAAGAACAAAAATACCTTAGAAACACTGCTTTGAAAAATAATCACATTAACTTTACACACAACAAAGTCCTTTCTTAAGCTTTATTTAAGAAATCGAGTACTATATAGTTCAATATATATAAGACACATCCAGTATTGTGTTCCTGATAGCAAGTGCATAGATTTTGTTAAGATATCATTTTCACTCAATATAAACGTTTCATGGTCACATGAAGATAATATTCCCAGTGATTTGCCCAAGCATGAGAGGAGAAAACAGAACACAGCAAAAGTAGTGAACTACAACAGAGATGAGAAACAAAAACAGCAAATTAGCAGAACAGTCGATTCCTGATAAGTGAATAAGCTGATTGTTTGGTCACAATGTTTTATTCACTTATCAGGAACGATTCACAGTACATTTATGTTCACTGTGTGTCCTAGCCTGCTAGCTAAGAGTCCGAGCCCCTCAGCTGTGGGCTGGGCAGCTTGTGTGGCTTCCATCAGCAGGGCGGGTGTTGACAGTGCTGCAATACAAAGTAGTCTGTGTGTGGCAAACCGATACACCTTGTTCACACTGCAGCAGGGTCATGCCGACTCAAAACTATGGGTCTGAATTCAGCAGGGACCAACTTGATAGTCATAAGTGCTTAAAGGAACTAGCGTTTTCGTCCCCTTCTTTGGAGAATTATTTGTTGCTTTAGAAGAGCAACAAAAACTGACTTTGTCTTTCTCTTCCTTTGCTTAGCATGAGTATTTTGTCTTGTGCCAAAAAGGTGGATCTATGTACTTCTAGATTTAAAAAATAAACACTTACACCTTGGAAGTAATTTAGTCACCCCCCATACCTCCCAACATCCCCCTCCCACCTCCCTAATACAAAGAAATCACACCCTTAGCCATCCTTTCCCACTAATGTAGGCAGTGCATTTTCAGAGGCAGACTGCTGAAGGCTATGAGGAGACTGAAAGCCGAAGTGGCGGCAGGAAGTGAGCTCCATCCTTGCAGGCTGGAGCTGGTGGCATCAGCATCACTGAGGCAGCCAGCCCCGGCGAGGGAGCCTCCCTTCCTCCACCTCGCCAGTCCCCTCTATTGTTAAGCAGACTAGAAAATACAATCTTGGGCCAGAGGGGCTGCTGCAACGAGAGGGTAAAGAGCCTGAGCACCTACTGGGAGAGAGTTCACTGGCACCCAGAGGAGGGCTGCCAGGTGCTGGGTGGCCTGAGTCAGACAGAGCTTGTGCGTCTGAAAATAGTGGAAGGAAAGATAAGACAGAGGGAGGAAACATCGACGGAATCTTGTAAGAGCACTTTAAGAGCGATCAGATTCCTGAGCATAGGCAGAACAGGGCCTGTGGCTTCAGTCTGTGAGGGCATAGAAGGAACAGTATTTGATAACTGGCCTTGGGGTGACAGTGGGGATGAGACTTACTCTGAGCTCTTATGTTCATCCAGGAGGGAGTGTGTGGATGCATATGGCGTAATTAGCTTGTGTTTGGAAAAGGACAGTAAACTATGAAGACAGCTTGAATGTGAGAAACTTGACCTCCCCGTGCCCGCCGCCCCCCAGACTGAGTAGGGCTTCCGTTTGGGCCCTTGGAAATACTTCTTTTCCGTTAGTGTTAATAATTAAAGCTGCTCCTGGATTCCATTAGCTTGTAGAAATAAATAATTTAAATGACTTTTCTATACATATCTTTTGATTGATGGCAACAAATAGACTTAAGTTTAACCCTTTTCACATCTTCCATTCACGGCTAAGTTTATTTTTCTTGCCTGGAGAACTCACCTCTTTTAGAAAGGTGATTAGTGTCTATGAAGAGTTCGACTGTACTGATGTGGCTTTGGCCTCGTGGGTATAGAGGAAACCCCAGCAGCAGTCTGGAATGTATGTTAAGAACTGCAAGGATAGATTCATGAGGGAGGAGAGAGAAGGTGAAATTAACCTGTGTGGTCAAAAGACCGTAAAACACCTTGGCAAATCCAACCCCGTAGGCAGTTACTGAGGTGAACTGTAGAAAAAAGTGTGTAAATCTTGGAAGCAGGAGTTCGAGTGGGCGGTTGTACATAAATCAAAGGTGGCTGGTGTGCAGTTTCCCCTTTCCCAAATCAGATATTCACTTAAGTGGAATCGACTGTATCTTTTTACACAACATAGAGAAAAAAACAGATACGTGAAACAGCGAGGTGTGTAGATGTATCACCAACACATAATGGCTACCAACAATACAACACGCAGAGAGAGAAACAAGTATTAGGAAAATGGTTTAATATTGGAGACAGAAGCAAAAAACTGCATCACACAATAACATACATTACAAAAATAAGTTTGACTGTTTCAACTACACAGTTATGTTCACAATGAGGACAGAAGAATCAGAAAAAACTTTGATCTAAACAGCAAAAAAGCAAACCCTAAAGTTTTAACTAATACATTTATCCACTTAAAGTGACTGAGTACTTCTAAATATCTAATTACCTTATTGTGTTAACTGCACAATACAGAATAAAAAGTGAAACTTACCGCTGTTATTTTAAGACAAAATTCTAATGCTAGATATAAGCAAAGGGAAAAAAGAAATCAAGCCAAAGTTTTTAATTCTCAAAAGAAAAGCAACTTTCTATCAACCCAAAATCAAACTTGAAATCAGTCATTGTCAGGGGCCCACCAGAGTAAGCCACAAAAATTTCCACTTTTTTTTAATCTCCAGTATAAAAAGTTCCACTGGTACAAAATGCTTAAGTACAATCAGTTGTAGAAATAGGAAAGCCTGCGTATTTTTCTTTTTTTGGCTCAAATTCCATCAAACAACAAAATCCAAATGCATCAATAAAACAAACAATACTCAAATGGTCTTACAGTTTCCACTAGGGTGCATTAACTTTGGCTTTTCTCAGACAATATTTAAAAACTAGTTTGTAATTCTAAACAAAATGATTATTAATCTATAAACATCAATTCTCACAGCACAAAAAAAACACAAATACATTTTTTGTATGACATTATTCAAAAAGGTAATGAAACTACAAGTTTTTTTTAAAATTTTATTTTTTTAATTAGCACTTAAGATAATAAAAACAAACAGTGAAATGATTCCAGAGTAGCACAAGCCAAAGAACTCTAACCCCTATGGTGAAAGAAAGATGAACTCATTAAGCCTTTGAGGACTGCCATTGTATCACAATTCTCTAATTTAGATTACAAATAACTATTCTCTACATTTGATTAAAAAAGCAGTTTCCCTGTGTGTTTTCTTCTGGCATAGGCCCTTTGCACCCTTGCAGCTTTGTCCTTTTGATACTAAAAGATCAAGTGGATAGAAGGACAGTTTGTCTCTGAAGAAGAAAGTTATCTTTTAGAGAAGGGCAAAAAAGGACTTTCCCCCTCATGTCCTCTCTTGGTTACTCGTGAAGAAGAAACACTCGACTGGGAGTGTGGGTCCTGAGCCTCTTGTCCCCTGCCCTCAGTGTTTCCTCTGGGGGAGATGCATGCAGGTGGGTTGAGAGGGAAATGGGGAGGGGCATCTGCTTCAGTAAAGAAATCAAAATTGTTTTTCGTTGAGGTTTATTTAATTGATAAGGAGTTTCAGAATGAAATAGCCTTAGAAATTCAAGTGGTGGGCTCTTGTGTTTCCATGTGTGTGTTGACACACATCGTCTTCTCAGAGAGACAGATGTGGTAACTTGTTACTAAGCTGATTGCTGCAGGAAGTACAAAATAGCCCTCAGAGGATGAAGGAAGGCCCCAGCAGTAGTAAACACGTGTGACGACAATACAAATCATGTCATTGTAAGTGCATGTGCTTTAAGAAGGAAACGTTTGTTATTAATTTTTTTTTGCATCAGTAGAGGCTAGTCCTTTCCATCCCAGGGCTATCACATCCACACACACTGATCCTAACAGGGTGCTGAGCGGGGAAGGGGAGCTGAGATCAAGAAGCTTCCGGGGCATGCTAGAGAGGAAGGCTGGAGTTTGTGTTGGGGCAGTAGGTGTGACATTAGGATTTGTCAAGACAGCAAGGTACCTGTTCACAGAAAGTCATATGGCACTTTAAAAAGTGGCAGCAGGAATTGGTGCTAGGTATTTGGTCAGTAAATTGCGATAAAGAACTGAGCTTTACTTAGATGGTCAGTCCCCTTTAAATGCGTTCAATTAAAGAAAAACAAGAAGGCTGGAAAAGGGCGATGGGCTTCTAACTCCAGACACCTGGTATATTCAGAGGTATCTACTGGGGTCGGAGATGCCCCAGCATAATGGCTGATTAGAAACAGTATTTAGGAGTAGTTAAGAAACAAAAGCAAAACCCCTCACGAGACTATCCTGCCACAAAGTCGTTTTACTGCACAGTATATGAAACTATTGTAGACTAGGACACACTGCTAAATGTGATCTCAAAAGCATACAGGATTGTTAGGTGCTGAATCTACCTCCGTTTTCCCTCAGGGTTTATCCAATTACTAATTAAAACTCCAGAAGGAATTCTAGTAGCACAGTAGGAATTCTTTTCCAAAAAACAATGAGAAATAATCAAAAGTAGTATAGGATTTTTTTTCCCTTTAGATTGGCCTCATGGAATCTTTTGGATCTTAATTCTTTTGGATCTTAACCAAAGAAAAAGTAGTCATTGGAAACAACTTAGAGGATAGATGCAGGGAAAAATATCCAAATTAGAAACACCCCAAAACAAACTCAAATCATGACAGTAGAAAAGGTTAACATTCCAGATAGCTCTGGTTAGAAAGGGTTAAAAGTTCAAAACTTTCTCACCTTAGAGGTTTCCATAGATTATGAAGAAAATACATGGTGAGGTTGCCTTCACAGCACTGATGTGTGGAGTGGTTAAAAAAGTGGGACATGGGCACTTATACAATGTCTTACAAAAAACATTAGAGAAATAACAAACAATAACAATTTCAGGCAACAAGACCACAGGATAGCAAGTTAACAAAGTTTTTAACCTTTTTTTTTTTTTTTTTTAAATATTAGGGATTTATACAAAACACATAATAAAATACCCATGTTATCAAATTACTTCTCACAAGAAACACACTGAAGCTCTAGGAAGGAAGTACCTTTGGAATTTGGCACTATATATTTTCACTTTTTTTCTTTAAAAGAAAAAACAGATCACATTTTGCTGAACACAAACACATCTAAATAGTTCACAATTAAAAAAAATGACATCAATGCTTCACAAGCCAACACAAAACTTATTCTGGAATAGGTTTTTTTTTTCCCCCTCACATGAAATTTGTTTTAAGCAAACAACTTTTTTTTTTTTTTTTAATTCTTTTTTTTATTAAGTAAACCAATTCTAAACTTGTCTTATCAACAAAGAACATTAAGACCATAAGACTCATGATGAAACCACAACTTAATTCACAGAAGCACCAACATAACACAGTTTACAGTAACCTTTCTCCTGTACATTGAAACAGTATAAAATATAGGTAATTTCATGTGCATTAAACCATGGATTGTCTAACTGTGAGTTCAGCAAAAGGTGACACAAATAGGTAGCATTTGCCCCAAAACAGGGTAAATATTTTTCTTATACTAATCTACAAAAAGTGGTTCTATATATATATCTTAATGAGAAAGTGAGCCACCTAAAATGGCCTTATCAAAAAACTTTACACTGCCTGAAAAATGTAAAAACTATTACAGACCTCTAGAGACTTAAAATCAGACAGTTTTTTTCTCAAACTGTTTTTGGAAGTAGTCTGTTAGAAACCAACATTCTGTGTCCCTGGACACATATTGCTATTGTTACCAGTGACCGGGAAGAATGCCAATCCCTGTATAATACTTTCAAGTCTGTTTTATGAAAAGAAAAAAAATAAGAAAAAAACATTTTTGCCACAGGTTTTTTCTATAATGAATTTGTCTAATAAATTTCAGTCTTGCATGAATGCAGCAATGTTTTTCACATTGACTTCCCAGAATTCATAGCTAGATGAGGTCACATGCAAATTTCAAAGGTCAAACTAGATCAAAGGTCAGTAGGAGAACCAAATATGATGTGAGGTCAGAAAGACATCAGAAACAATGACGGGACGATGAAACTTTTTTTTTGAGACGCCACAGGGACATGCTAGGCAAACGATGAACTAACGGGCATGAAGATGTCTAGGGAAAAAACAAGGAAGAGTAAAAAGTTACACAGAATCTATGCAGCAGCAACAAAATAACTTTTAAGGGTGCAGGAGAAAATCTAATGCAAATCTTCCGTCATTAGGGAGTCTCCGAGCCATTCACATAATTTGCATTTCTTACACTCTTTATCCACAGCACAATGAAACCCCAAGAGAATCCATCTGGAGAGAGTGAGGGGATGGATTCTGGATGTTGTGGGGTGAGGGACAGGGGAGAGGGTCCAGTTTCAACAAATGTGACATACGGGGAAAGTCAGACGACTGAACTGTAAACTAGATAATGGAAGTTACGAACAAAATCATCAGACAGATACAAACAACGAGAAGATAAAGCATGAACTTTAGGTCTAGGGTTCAACGGTGAAAAAAAGCCCATTCCTAGAACAATTCCTCTAGAGACTACTTCAGAAGGTTCTAGCTAGACAGAGAACTGCTCTTTAGGTACCCAATAAGTTAACAATAGGCAATAAATAACTTCCATTATTTCTGAGGCAGTAAAAATTTTGTATAAAAATAGAAATGCTTTTTTTACAAATAAAATTTACAGGCCTGTGGCTTTTTTATTTATGTATTTATGTATTTATTTATTATTATTAAATTTATCTTTCAAGAAACATCAAGTATTTTCACTCATTTTTATTTTTTAAACCCTGTAGCTTTAAGAAACAGATCTCTAAATCTTTTTGTACATTAATCCTTTCTAAAAACTAAAATAAAACAATAACGAAGTAGACAACCAGTGTAATAATTTGACCAATAAATGTTATGTTTCTTTGAACCCTAAAATAAAATCCTACTTAGTAAAACAAGCCGATGTAGTGGAAAGACGTGTGGTTGGAGTAAGTGCTTCTCCTGGCTTCTCCCTCTCCTAGGCCACCGTTAACCTCTAAGTGCCGGGCCCTCCCTCCAGGGGCGGGTGCCGGGCAAGGAGGGGTGAATTCTCCAGGCAGTGCTCTTGGGGCACCAGTGGTTTCAGAGTTAGAATTGCACATTAGCGTTTGTTTGCCTTTTAAATTCTCAAGATGCCATTTATTTGTGTATATGCTTCTCTTTAAAAAAGCAAAAACAAAAAAAATTTAAGAAAAAGGTAAAAGGAGATTCAAATTGCAAAACAAAGGAGAATACAGTGGCACAACTGGAGGAGGAATTTACTCAATAGAAACAAGGTAGGCCAAGTTTTAATTATGGCAAACTGGGTAGGGGAAGTGGGTGGGGACATGGAGGCCTTATTGTAAAAATAACCGTCTCTCTTGGTAAAAGTTGGCAATGTGGTCCTCCTCTGCCTTTCCTGTTGAGACAGGCTGGCTCGTGGGACTTACCCTAAGAAAGCTAAAATGAGAGCAGGGAGCCTCTGGGGTTAGGATCAGTAAGGTTTGCTGTCGTTTTTGGAGCGCTTCAGCTGCACCTTCAAGCGTTTCATGCCGATCTGAAAGCCATTCATAGCCTGGATAGCAGCTTGTGCAGAGACTGGATTGTCGTAGCTAACAAAACCTGGAAAACACCGAGGGTGGAAGTCAGGCTGGAGAGGGACCCCAGCAGAAAAGGGAGCCAGGGCTCTGGGGAGGGCTCAAGAGGCAGCATGGGGCGCCAGCCCCACAGGTTCGCCAGTGCTCTGCCCAACTGATTGTGTGTCCACCATGAGTGGACAATGATGCAAGCCCATTGAGCAGCTGGACTGAAAGGTGGTCCGAAGAACACACCCCTCCCCAGAACACTGAAGCGTCAGATGCAATTGTTTGCGGGAATTCAGTTCCATTTACTGAAGTTGCTGAAATCATTGTGTTTCAAGTCTCTTAGCATCTTTCGGTGAGAACCCCAGGTATGTACATGCTACTCAGCTGCTCATACAAGCAGTGCCGTAACTATTTCAGGGCTGCAGGGGATCACATGTCCTAACCAGGTGAGGCCGACAGGCAGGCTCGGGAAGGGCTGGAGAAGAGCAGATCCTGTCAAGCCCCTGCCTCACTCCAGCTCTCCATGGTCTGTCACACAGAGCCCACGCCTGTTTGCCTGGAGGATGGGTCAATTAGCAAGTTAACTCTACCGGTTGGGACCAAGGAGACTAGGGAAGTGCTGGGCCTTTCTCCTTATCTCCCTTTCCATTTCCAAAGCTCCAGTGAATTCAACAGAAAGGAAATTGCTACCTGGCATCTCCCAAAGTCTGGGGGCATAAACAGTCAACGGCTTAGAGCTTAATCATCTGATGAGAATTCCCCATCTCTTACTCTGTAGCAGCTACCTCTACCAAAAACAGCAGGGAGGACATGCTTTTGAAAAAGAACTACTGCTACTCTGCAAAGACCCAGAGACAAGAGGACCTCAGTCTCAAGAGTCTGCTCCAGCACTGAGAGGCAGCAGCAGAGGTGCAGCAAGGCTGTGGAGGGTGGTGACAGGAAGCTATTGTCCTCATTTACTTTTAGGTATGAACGTCAGCTGTTCAGAAGGTTCTGTACTAAGCACTTCCATCCATCTGCTAGTAAAGATAAAGAAAATTCCTTGACAAACTGGAGGAGGAAGAAAAGGACATGACTTTCTGTACATTCTCAGCTGATAAAAAGGGGCATGCAGCGTAACGCTGGTCAGCTTTTCAGAGGCAGGCCGTACTGCAAAGTGGCTGTTTAAATTTTTATTCAGTCTCATTCCCAATAAATGGGATCTGAGATTTTTGCTCTGACTTTCCTTTCCCTCGGGGTCTTTATCAAGGAACAGCAAGATAGTTACAGAATGTAAATGGACAAAGGATAACAAAACCTGGCTAAGAACTAGGAAGGAAGGAATGGGGTATTACCTTATGATGGCAACCCTAATTAATTCGGCTGGCTCATCAGACAGCCTGGATGCTACAGTGATTAACAACAATGGAAACCAGTCCATCATGCTCAAGAATTGTCTGCTGACACTAATAGCTATGGTTTACATTTACATTGGCTAATCTGTTTTCAAGGAAGTAAATATTAAATCATGAAGCAGAATGCCCTTCCAAATAAACCCAGAATATTATTTATGAAAAACAGAAGAGGCAGCCTCAAAACCTTGTAAACCTTGTGTAGGGAAGCCTCCCTAAAGTAGGCTCATGCTCAAACACACACACACATCCTATCATGATTTCATTTGCATATCACTCTTTACCATCACAAAGGGTTTTATACAGTTGCCACAGCAGCAGCCTAATAATGGGTTCCAGCTGAAAGCTTTGCCACTAGGGTAATGTGACTGTAAGTGGCTGACAGGTGGAGTCCTTTAACGGTGCCTTCAGACCTTCCAGGGTGATAGCAGAAATGAGAAAGATCTTATGATAATAGTTTTAGAAGCCAAAACATTATCTTTGGACTGGTTACCCATTACCAGCCAGAGTTAAGTTTAAGAACCACCCTCCCTTTGCTACTTTCCTTTAAAAGCACTCAATTCTGTGTGTTTCCTCCGGCCCCTACCAAACTTGGTTTTATGCTGTTATTACCTCCCACTGACATGAATTATTAAATTGCAGGAGTGATTAAAGCAAATATTCTAGCTCAAACTGGGCACTGAGCTTGTCAAGTAATATACAGTTTGAACAACTTGGCCTCTAAACTGCTTTGGGGGCCAGTAGGGTTTGAATAATGAAACAAGGAATATATTTAAATGCTATTGTCCTGGTGTGAAACATCAGTATGGGAAGTGAGCTTCCCTTACTCCCTAAGGGAGTGAAAACCACCACAGGAAGCAGAGTCCAGGATGATTGAGGAAAGGGCATGTGGCAGCTCAGGTAACAGCTGCACGCTCCTGGACTCCATATTTATTCCCACAACCCCTGCCAGTCTCACACTCCCCCACTGTGGCCTTCAGATCCCATCGTCGTGCAGTGCACTGTGTAACCGTGAGATCCGTCAACCGCTCATCCTGGGAACGTGGATGAGTGGTGTGTTGAGGCTGATGAGTGGGTTTCTGTCTGTGAAAGTGTCTGTCAAGGCCAATAAGCCCCTAATATGGTGTTGCCCATAACCATGGTGTCTGAAGTGTACTAAACCTAGAGGGGTAAGGAATTAGTGGGAAAGATGGGCTAAATGTGGTTAGACTCCGTAATAGTATAGTCTAGAACATTACCTAAGGCATGGGCATTGACATTAATTTCCCAGAGCCTTCTTTTGTTTGCCCAAATCTGCTTAAAAGGATCCAGAAAATGAGAGCCCCCCACCACGCGGGGAAGGCCCTATGCTGACTGAAATTGCCAGTCACCTTTTCCTTCCCATGACTGTTCACTTGGGAGCCCAATGCAATAGTCTAGCTTAGTTTCTTTTGCATACCAAAGCACTTGCTCAGATTGGTCTGTTTGTCAATGAAGACTTTAGCAGAGATAACATTTCCAAAAGGCATGAACATCTGCAGAATGTCCTGGTCTCCAAATTCTTGTGGAAGGTGGTAAATAAAGAGGTTTGCCCCCTCTGGACCTAGGGAGGAAAAAAAATCAGAGTAAGGTATTCCTTGAGTCTTAGTTTCCAAAGTCTCTTCTTAGGAATACTATAACAACAGGTAGGTTAAGCATTTTGCTTTCTTTCAATACAAAGAACAAACAGATGAGTAAGTGTAAAGTGCTGGAGTGACTTTCAAGAAAGCAATCATCCTTCAGATTTTCTTGATTTCCAAAGACAGGCTGGCTACGAACGGCTTCCTTTTCACAGACAGTCTTCTGTGAGTCACTGGTACTATAGCCCCCTGGCATGCATTTCAGTCACCTCTTGGGTGGCCATATTTTCTCAGGTATAGACAGGCTCTGAGAAGAAAAAAGGGTGCTCTGTGCATTCTAAGCAAATTGTAAAAATTTAGAATAAATTTGCCTAGTTGTCTAGTCAGTTTTGATTTGCCAAGTCTCTTAACACACAGTCTAATAATCATCTTTATGAGAAATGACTGGCACTGAGTCGACGCAAGGAAAGGAGGTAGGCTGAGTCTTGGCAAATACTGAGGCAAGCCAAGCTCTGCCTGCCCACCCTCCTTTCCCAGCAAATACAGGCAGCAAGGACAAGATCTTGGCCCCGCCGGTTGCAGAAGAGGTATGCGCTCCTAAGCTCCCCTCACTTTCCCTCTCTTGACTCTCTCCCACCCATATGAGCACCATTTGAAAGTTAAAAGCAGCACAAAAGGGAAGAAATATGAGCGGAGGGAGATAAGGGCTGGCTGTTTCTTGGGCATTCCAGGCATGGAGTCTTCCAAGGAGGGGCGCTCACAGAATTGGTGAGGCGACTTCTGCAGCAGATCAGGAATCCTCAGCTGGCTTCCACAGGAAAGGAACAGGTCTGCCTGCCGAACTGGACAACCCCAGGGGACAGCTACACTGGGGTCCCTAGATGCGGGAAGGGGGTCTGTGTGTGAGATGAAGAAAACTAAAATGGGGATAAAAAGAACTTTGTAAAAATGTCAAACCAAGCCTCTTTCCCTGCCTCCACAAGATAAATCACAAAAAAGTGTCCTAATGGTTAGGACTTTTCAAAGAAAACTTCTTGGGGCAAACTGTGGAAGCCACAGAGATGGAGTAGTTAGTTCTTTCTCATTTAAAAGTGGGTCTTCATGACTACTGTAACTTTTTATATTGCTTCCAATTTCCATGGACATATCCATATTACAGGCCATGGGAGGGAGTCTGTTTTAAAGGGACATGATTGCAGGGAGGCCTTGGGTCCCCTGATATTTTCTGGTTTTCAAATAATCAAAATTTAACATGAAAAGATGCAAAACCCAAAACACTGGAAAGGGATGTTCTGAGTGCTGCTGTGTGTGCATCCTTGGCGATGTGTTTGTTGGTCAGATTTGCTGCCCCCAGCTTTCATGTTCTTGCTGCACAAAAGATCCAAATGCACAAATGGGGGTTACTGGGCCCCAATCTGAACTGTGAAGTACATCTCACCTCCTGAAGCTGGGGTGAAAATACAGTTTCAGTGCACATGACAGATGATTGGCTATGCCTGAGTAATCCTAGCTTTCTAGAACGTTGCTCATGCTGAATGGATCTTTGCCCAACAGAGACCGAGGAAACTCAGAGACCACTAAACAAACACAAGTAGGTTTTGTCCTTCTGCTCCTGATACTCCCCCTAGAAAATGTCAGTAGTGTCTCTTGACACAGATCCCCCAATTTTTTCATCATGAAGAAACAGTTTGGTTTTGTATATGCCTCAAGTTTTTAATACTAAAGTGAGAACAAATATTTCATATGGAAAACCTCCCTTGTATGCAACTAAGGTGGCTGAGATGAAGAGGAGAAAACAAAACACATTAAAGAAAAATGAGATTCTACCTGTGTCATCTCTGTTTAGAAGTGGGACACACCTGTTCACAAGTCACCCCTTCATCAGATTTCTCCTGGTGCACGTTTCTGTCACTTGATAGATTCTCTGGTACACTCACTACTGGTCCTGGCTGTTGGGGTGTTCATATTTTGTCTGTCTCACAGGGCACTTGATCTGGCATAAAGCACTGGGGACATTTGTAGGAGCAAAGCTTTATGAGGCTACCAGTGTTCCCCTTCCTCATGGGACTAGCCTCCTGCAGGTAGTGGGGAGATGTGGGCCATCAGAGGCTCACTTCCTGTCTGGGGAAAAACACTCCAGGGCACGTGACTAAATCCATCACACTAACTTCTGGGTCTTGTGACCTTGGACAGAACTGTGGAGTAGAAAATCTAAACATCTATTTAGTACTGGAATTCATTATTAGTTTTTACTCTGCCTGGCATCATTTGCTTTTAAAACTACATTTTAAATATTATGAAGATGTTTAAAATTTCTTGAGCACATATTAACTGGGCGAGAAGGGAATCAGAAGAGAAGGATGAGAAGGTGGGAGATGATTAAAGAAATGCTGAACAAACAAAAAACCTGAAACCATGCTACTGAAAACCCACACCCTTAAATCCAGAGCTGGCAATGGTTATTTTGGCCGATTTTATCTTAATCTCAGAAGGGAAATTACTGCATTAAGCAGTAATCCCTAAAACTCAACACGAGGAAGTTGAGGGCAGTGGGCTCAGGTGAAGCAACTCAAAATATGCTGCTTCAGGGCCCAGACTTTATCCCAAACAGGGATATAGTTTACTGGAAGGCCCTGCTCTACTGGAGAATTGACCACCATTCTCTCAAACCATGGGGGCAACTGGCCCTCTGGCCTCTGTGTGAGGATATCATCATCCTACAGGATCCTGCTCTCTGCCCTCAGTGACAGCACGATACTTAGACCACAGACAAAAGGAACACACACAGGCCTTTCTTTGGGAAGACAGGTGATGTTTATGATATAGAGTCTCTTTCACAGGCCTGGGGGAACCACGGTTGTCTGAACACCTGTGCATGTTTCAAAAGCCTACAATAGCCACAGCTAAGAGTAAAGAGAAAGTTATATGAAAAGTAACTTAGCCTTTTATATAGTTTTCATTTTAAAAGTGATCTCCATGTTATTTACACAAAGAAAAAAATATCTCCCTTCCTTCAAAAGAATACATGAATATCTGTTAAGCTGTGTTTTCTCAAAACCCACAACTTAAGTCAGAATATTCAGATAAAAGCAGTTTACAACTATGGTGAGGATAAAAGACGGGAAAGAAACTTCAAAAAATCTCCTTTAGTACTTCTCTGTTCTGGCTTTTTTTATCCCGTATCTAAACAAGTCAGAAGAAAATAAGTATCATTTAGCAGATTTTGCTTTAAAGGAGCTTCAAAATTAAGGAAGAATCAAAAGCAAGAATGACCAATGATCCTTATTTGGACTTATGAACCATTTCATAATTAGCTTTAATTTATTCTTAGCATTAAATTCCTGGAGTTTATTTTGCTTTACTGGCAGAGAAGCAAGGTAATCAGTCACTTACTTGCTTTCCCTGAAGACCCCCAATTAAAGACCAAGTCAATCCTAACCATGGATTTTGTCATTCACCTGGAAACCATCGCCTACTGAGAGCCAGCCACATAATCACGGTGTGTGTGGACTCGAAAACCCTGGCAAACACAGGATAGAGAGTGTTTCACCTACCGAAGACTGTGGCCATCCATCCCCTTCCACTAACAAGGAGTTTCTGTCTATGGGAAAGTTGATGGTCTGTGCTGACTTTGGAGAGGGAGGTCCCTGGGAATTTTCTTTTGGCAGCAACTATTAGGTCATTTATGGGAAATTAATAGTTTAAATAACTTAATTATGGGAGGGGGTGAGCAGTCAGAGGATATTTGGGGATTGTAAGAAAGGTGATCAACGTTCCTGGACTTAGAGCTGCAGAGATGCCATAACCCTTCGGAAGATGTAACTGGGGAAAAATTTGAAACCATTTATCTGCAAAGTCAGACTGGTATATAAATACACAATGGACAAGAACGTCATCTAAACAAGATGGATGAAGAATTAAATTAGAAGGTAGCCATAAGACCAAAGGAGAAAGACTGAAATCAATAGTTAGGTTTTTGCTTTTGTTTGAGGGAGAGGGGTCTGTATTCCCTGATGGGAGTGCAGTGGCTATTCACAGACAGGACCATGGCTCACTGCAGCCGCAGCCCCTGGGCTCAAGCGATCCTCCCCCCTCGACCTCCCAAGTAACTGGGACTGCAGGTACATGCCACCACATCCAGCTTTCAGGTTTTTTTTTTTTAAAAACATGAGTAATAGAACAACTGCATTCTGTTATGACATGGCTTCAATTTGATACCTGCTAACCGTACTCTGGAGGCCAGTACTGCCTGTTGGGCTGGGCCCTGCAGCCCCTACCTGGAGCCAAGGGTGGCACCTACCTTCCTTCTGGCTGCCAGCAGCACTCTGCTGCTGCAGCAGGCTCTGGCTGTACAGAGTGGGCAGCGCGGCCGCTGCATACTGCTGAATTCCTGAGTAGGCCTGGGTGAGGGCGTCCATGGTGCCAGCCGTGCCATTCGTCAAGCCTGTGGCGCCAAGTCCTCCATTCAGAGCCGCCATACCTGAGAGCATTTGAGCAACTTTACAAAAAACCCAACAATAGAGAAGAGAAACAGCACTTATTCATTAGTGCTTTCCAAAGGAAGTTAGAGAATCATTTGACACAAGTACAACAGCAAGTACATGCAGCTAGCACACAATTACACTGACAGGAAATTAAAAATGAAACCATGAAGAAAAAAATGATGATAATGGGGAAAAATGACCTAAGCCATGAGAACCCTGACTCTCTAGGCCAGTGATCCAAATGCACTGTGGCACTAGTTAGATGAGACAGCTAAATGCCATGCAGCATGCTACTGGCAAGTACCATTGTTATCTTTTGGAAATAAAAGCCTTTTGCTTCTCGGAGCCTAGGAGCATGTAAAACACCCTAGGAGCAGAGGCCTGTAACATCTGTACACTGAAATCCATGTACTGGGCTCTTTGAGGAGCTATGGGATGGCTTGCAGGGCTGAGGAGGAAAGGATGAAATAAAATGTTTTTCCCTTAAGCTGCGTGTGAGGAAATGGCAGAGAGGACAAGTTCTGCACTCTTGGACCCAGTGGACCTGGTTCTGGGAGTTCTAGTATGGGAATACTGGCTTTCTCCACCAGTTCCTGATAATGATGTCAGGAACTAGGACCTTAGGAATAAGTAGCCTGGGTGATGAAGAACTGAGGCACAGGAAGAAATGTGGGCCCTTCCCACAGTCGCAGAGCTGAAGCTTCTCAGTCAGAATCAGAGTGGTGCTGTTTTCAGCAGCAAATAGTTGTACTCTGTGTGCACACACACATACACCTGAGTGGCAGCTGGGGTTTCAGGCCACTGAAAGAGCTCCGTGTCATGCTTTCCAGTCAGCCGGAGACAGAGCCATGCCTATGGGCTGGATCTTGGCTATCACTTGATGGGAACGGCATGGTGGCCAGTAGACTCGAGTTTCTCCCCGTTTCCTGGCTGCTCTTTGGCTCTACTGGGGTTGCTGACTGTCACATTTTCCTTGAATACTGACTCAAAGCAAGCAACACTTCATAGAGTGCTGACTTTCATAAGAACTCAGGAAACGGAAGAAGTGACATCACAATGACCTCTAGATCCCTTTATGATCACAATTTTTAAAGAAAAGATCTGTTTCTGAGAAGATCTTAACAATTGGAGATATGAAAACAGCAAGGATGACTAACTGAAAAACAGGAAAGAAGTCTAATGAGAACGGAGGACAGCGAAGGTAGGCTGCTTGGAAACACCAGGGAATTCAGCAGCAGACTGACCTCCGCATGCCTGGCCGCACGACTGCCGTAACAGAGCGGGGGGAATGTTCTGTTTACTCCACTTGTGCTTCTGTTTGGCCATCTTCGCCTTTCCAATTAAAAAGGACACGTGTAAGATATGAATTGGGCCATGGCTTACCAGTGGAGGACTGTCACTGTGCCTCAGCTAGGGTATTCCTGTGCTTCTCAGAACAGACACCAAGCAGGGGGGCGGCAAGGAGTGTGTGAATGGCGTGAGGAAGGAGTGACAGCCTCCTGAGTGCAGGCGCAGCCCTGCTGGGTCTGCTTACGTTTTTTACTATGAAGGGGTCTATTCTCTCTTTTTGTGTCATGTAAGTAAGCGCTTTCCAAAAAGCGTCGACGCAGATTGTTCTAATTGCTCTAAATGATCCCTCAGACACCAGCAAATCACAGTCACCTTCCTGCTACTGTGGCCACCAGGGGCTGGGGAGTCATTTTTCTCTTCCTTCAGTGGTCTTATTTCATCCTCACCTCCCAGTATTTTTGTGATGCAAAGAGACGTCTGTGTTTTCTGCGACAGGTGAGAGGAGTATATATAATAACTTGGGAAGGGCTGGGCACCGCTGATCAATTCTGTTGGTCTCACTTTGGCCAGGATGTCAACAGGGCTGTGGATTACAGATGATGAAGCTCTGGGCATAGCCCTCAGGAAATGCAGATGCCTGTGCAGAGGCAATGCTGGCAGGAGGGGAACGGCAACTTGCCACTCTCCTTGGATCCCAGGGCATGAGGTTCTTCTGGCTGTGCCTCGATGCCAGATGAGCATGGGGTGAAGAGGGCAGCTCTGCTTCGATGGATGCCTCCAAGTTCCCATGGAGGGGTGGGGAGCAGTGCATCACCATGATGCCTTGTCTGCTGAGGGTCAGGGTCTTCAGGCCCTGCCACGTGAGACCCACAGGGGCACCTACCTGTGATATGCAGCCTCCACGACTCGGCTTCTCCAGAGTGCCAGATACACAGGTGGCATTTCATGGCAGTGGCCACTGGGCCCCAACTCCTTTCTCCACACACAGCCATTTTTTAATTGTCCATGTCAAGAAAGCTACCTTCCTACTTTGAACTTTTTCCCCTTTTAGCCAAGAATGTTTTTCTCTTACAACACAGAAGCAGAATGAACTTCCTGCTCTTGAAATACTGGATGTATGTTTGAGGGTATCGTAAGGCTTGCAGTCCAGACAGTGACATTCCAGATACACCCTCCACTCCTGGGTACACTTCACAGAGGCTGGCTGTGTCTCTGGACTACACCTCAGAGGTCACCTGCTTTCTGGAAGGGTCATGCTTACCTCTGCTGGTGCTGTGCATGTAGGAGACAGCTGTGACTGGCCCTGTTTGCCCGGGCAATGGGGGAGGGGCCTGTGCCGGGGACAAAGGGAGGGTCTGGCCACTCCAGCCCAGGGCTGGCCACCTCCATGGTATAAATATCCTTGTGAACAAAAAAGTTCTAACAAGTACCAGTGCACGGAGAATATTTTAAACCACAACTAAGAACTTCTGGGAGGGTGGTTCCTAGGTCCAGGGTGGAAAAGCAGCTGAACACATGATAGGATTTGAAGAACCATCAGAGGCGGCCTTCCACTTCTGAGAACAGTTCCTGTGAATCACCTGATGTGCTCTAGATGAAATAATTCTATCACAGAGAGTGTTTGTCAACCCAGCTGCAGCTACCTGATTAGCTCTAAAAGCTCTGGATAACAGAAGCAGAGCTCTAAAGAAAGTTAAGTTGAATAAAATGCTTCCACTTCAAAGAATAGGGCTTTTCCTTGAAATGACCACATGGATTGACCACTTCCTCTCATTTACTGTCATCTCCATCCTCCGCATGCTATTTAGAGAAGGAAGGCTGGAAGCAAGTGACAGGTGTGGCAGTGCACAGCAGGGAGGCCTCTGCACCTGGCCCATCAGGATGCCGGTATGCAATGTGACTACTGAGTGCCTTCTGCTTAATTACTCTCCAGAGGCCCCCAACTTTCGATAGAGACCCAGGAGCTGGGAGATGACTGAATCTGTTAACATGACACTGAAGGACTAACCCAGAAACATGAGCGTGACTATTTTTTGCACAGCTGGGGGGTGCTGGTGGGGTGGGGCAGAAAACGAAGGAGATGACACTGAAAAGTAGAATCACAAGCCAAGTGCCATAAGCAGATCACATTTACTGCAAGCTGCCCTGCTAGGTTTTATCCCAAATCAGAAAGAAAAAGGAAGAATATGCTCACAGATTTCTAACCACTTCACTGGTATAAGTTTTCCTTTATACAGATGAGAGATTATCCTTCTAAGCTGCAAGCTGGTAAATGAGAAGTATAAAATGTCTACAATTAGGGTAGATGAAGATCACTACACTGGGTGTCACTTATATACCTGCCTCTGTTATTACAGGCACAAATGTGTGGGGCTGTGTATAACTTTATGCATATTAGGAATACAGACTAAAACAGTAATTTCACAATGCAAATAGTGCCAAGCCACAAAAATATTCCCAGAGCATCTTCTTTTTCCTGCACTTCACAGAAAATATTTCCATAGACACTTTTCAGCAGGCATCTACAGCTAGTTTTCTTAAAACAATAATTTTAGCACTACATGGTAAGCCATTTGGAAGCCATTTGACCTACGCAATAAAACAAGGAAAAATAGAGATGTCACTTGGCATACACTGAAACATAAAAACAGAGAGAGACTCTTGAGTCGAAAAAGTATGTTCTTCACCTTAGTTCAGGTATTATTATACAAAACATGCTCAGGGAACCCTGAAAAAATCCAGAGGTGAACACTGATAGTGATTCACACACGTTCCTTCTTTTGATGTTGACAATTCTTATATTTTTAGGGTGCTTTACTGTTTTGTAGCTCTTTCCTTCATTAATGTATAAGGGAATTAAAAGGATATCAAACTCAAAACAGTTTAATTTAGCTACTTGTCTACTGACCAAAAACTTACTTTTCTGGGAGAGGTGTTAGGGCCTCGGGCAGGAAAGAAAGTAAAGCATAGGCTCCAGTGAGCCATCGACCGGCTTTCTTGCTGGCTGCTGTGTCGGTGGGCAAGAGGTGGTTCTATTCAGAAAACCTGAATACTTTCCAGATGGAAACAAATAATGGCTGCTGAGATGGGATTAACAGCAGTGCTGTGGAATCCTCAGGAGTCAACTAATTGAGAAGCTGACTCTGTCCAGATAACCCTGCTTGACAACTTCCTTTGGGAATTATCCAGTGGAACTGGTAGTATAATCATCTTTGTTGAGAAGGAATGGTCTCAAAGAGGATACTCTATCTTGTAAGGTTTGCTCTTGATATTTAGAAACAAGCAGCAAATATTAGCTCCAGGTCAATGCTGAGATCGTAAAACAGCTCTGCATTAGTAACCCTTTCCAAAAACAAGGAATGGATTTTCATTTGTGCCTAGTTTTGGGTTTAATTAAACATTTTCTTGGTTCATACCATCTAGTAGGTGTTACTTGAAACCAGAAATGTTCTTCATTTTCTATCAACTATGCAGACTTATACGAACCCAATGGCAAAGAATTTCAAAAAGCAAAACAATTTAAACCTGTTGTCCTTGCCAGAAGCAAAATGTATGTCACACAAGACCCCACATAAGAACTACTCATGGTTTCTCTGCCATTCAACACAGCCCCGCTCCAGTCCCTGATGAGTACAATGGGAAAATCTCAGCAATGCAGAGCAGAGCAGCATGGACAGGGCAGGACGCAGACGAGAGGACACACACACACCAGTCATGAGCACGTGCTGAGGAGGACAACCATTCCCACTGGCCTGTTACTCTTCAGACCAAGGACAGGCAGGCGGTCAAATCAAAGTCCTTGTTTTAGGGGAACTAGGTCCTGGGGCAAGAGAAGCAGCATGAGGGGATGTGTGCGAGCACAGACGTCCTCAACCTAGGTGAAGGACATGGTCAGAGCGAGGAGCTGTACCGAAAACAGGGGTCAAGGCAGTGAGGTTCCTATTTAGCTGATGGAAAAGTCAAAGCTGGAAGCGGTTCTAATGAATGAAACACTGTGGCTGCCACAGGGCTACCACTTCACGGGCTCCACGCTAATCACAAGCCATCTCATTTGGGAGGTATGGTCAGCTAAAACTTGGTCCATGTCTTTGTATTTCCAGAGCTTCTGAATAAACGGATGTACTACAACCTGAAAATGTCCTACTTCTTTATTCTTTTGAGAGGGAGTCTCACTCTGTCGCCAGGCTGGAGTGCAGTGGTGCAATCTTAGCTCACTGCAGCCTCTACCTCCCGGGTTCAAGCAATTCTCCTGCCTCAGCCTCCCGAGTAGCTGGGACTACAGGTGCGCACCACTATGCCCAGCTACCTTTTGTATTTTTAGTACAGACGGGGTTTCACCATGTTGACCAGGATAGTCTCGATCCCTTGACCTCATGATCTGCCCACCTTAGCCTCTCAAAGTGCTTGGACTACAGGCATGAGCCACCATGCCTGGCCAACATCCTACTTCTAAACATGATCTATCAGGATTATAAAAGTTAATTTTTATTTGGATAAATTTTAGGTTCATTTTTCTACCAAGTCCATGGCAAGGTATTCTGAGCTTGTATAGTATGAAATTACTGGGATTAATTTGCTTTTAAAAATAATATTGCCTGATCACTCTTATATTGCCTGATCACCCTTATATTAATTTGCTTTTAAAAATTATATTGCCTGATCACCCAAAAATAGTCCACTTACTGAACCATGGTTTAAAATAGGGCAACAACTGTAAAGGACTCATTTATTAAAAATGAGAATGGGCAGATGCTGGGCTGCCTGGGCGGGGGGTGGGGGAGGCTCCTGTATCAGCAGCTCTGTTGGCTGTCATGGATCTTCTGGGCTTGGCTACTCTTGGGCAACCAGGGGGTCTAAAATGGAGGGACAGGGAAATTACCTGTCCCCTCTGCGGCTGAGGATCAGTTTCCCCAGTGTAGGAACCCACACCAAGCCTGAACCTAAAACATGACTTATCTTCTGGGCGGCACACTGTTCCCCTCATCAACCGAGAATGACAGGAGCAGGTGGGCCACAGAGAACAGAACCTGGTGTTTGTTGGTGAGTCCATCAGGATGTCTCGGAACCAAGTACAATTTTGTGAGTGATTTGCCTCCAGCCTACTTCAACCTGCCACAGCTAAACGATGTCCCTTTGGATGGTCACTGATGTAGAGTGACCAATGCCTGTGATGCTTAATAAAGTTTCCGATCATGTCACTTCTGGCAGTGGCTCCTCTCCCCTCAGTTTCATTTCCTTCTTTCCAAGGCCTCATTTCGTCCCCTATTTAATTGTCATGAATCTTTGGACTTTGGAGCTGGAGGGAACCTTTAAGAATTATCTGATCCAGAACTTTCCATTCTCAAATGGAGACTCTCAAGCCTACAGAGGGAGCAGCATCTGCCTGAGTTTCCACAGCTGCCAGGCAGCAGAGCTGGGTTCAGGTTTCCAGCCTTCCAGTCCATGAACCTCCCATTATAACACCCTGCCTCACAGGACAGAACGGACTAAAATCAAACCAAACTCCTGGACACCTGAAAATAGCTGCCAGCCACAGAACCCCATGGATGAGCACATGTGCTGTGCTACACACTGAAAAGAATCTGGGGGTGGAGAGTGGTCAGGGAATTTTTGAGGCAAATTGAGCGTAGACAACTTCTGCCCATCAAAGCATGCGCTCCTCCATCCCAAGTTTTAGTTCTCCCCTGGCATATCCTTTTTCGGGTCATTTCTGGCTGACCACGTTCTGTGGAGAATTTGGGGGAAGGCTGTCCACCAGAGCAGCGAATACTCACTGTTGATGGTACCTGCTAGTGCATTAATATTATTCAGTCCAACAGTGGCCCCAGCCAGTCCTTGCAGAGTCCCGAGAGAGGTCAAGGAGTTCATGGCTGCACCAGCAGTGGAGTTTGGGGTCGAAGCAGCCACTGAAAAACAAAAGGAAGACAGGAAAGTGGGGAGAGAAGACGCAAGGTGAGTGAGAGCCAAGAGAACTAGAAATCCTTCTGTCACCATCTCAGTGGACGGAGTTGAGGAGCTGTGCTTGTGCCTTTCGTGTGAAGGACATATGGGACTGTACTTGTGACAATTTTGATAGATTTGGTGATTAAAAACATCATCATAGCGTGGTTTTGCCAGTACAACAAACACACACACTCATTGCTGGGTGATGGGGAAAAATCTGTGAATGGGAGGCCTGTCCAGCCAGGTTTATACATAACAAAGTTGGCAATAATTCTTTGGTTTCATTATTTGATAATATATATATATTTTTTAAGCCTATGTGTGTAAGATGGGCCTTTATTTTTCCTTCTTGTACTGTCTTTAGTTTTGCTTTGAAGCTTTTGCTAGCCTCAAAATGACAAGCAAAGTGTTCCTATTTTTCTGTTCTCTGGAATAAACTGTGTAAGACTGAAATTAATTGTCATTTAAGTGTGTGGTAGAACTTGCTAGTAAAATGTTCTGGGATATGTCTTCATGGGAATATTTTGAAATACTGATTACATTTCCCTAATAAATGGGATGATTGAACTTTTTTGTTCTTGAATCAGTTTTATTAGTTGCTGCTTTCTGGAAATTGATATACTATTTTCAAATTGATATATTGTTTTCAACTATATATTGGTATAAAGTTACTCATAATATCTTCAATAAACTTTTGCAATGAAAAACATTTAAACATGTCTCATTCACTTGGTCTACCTGATCTGGAAGTTCCTGGAAGAAGCATGTGAACATCTGCTGTAATTCCAACTCCTCTATGTAAATATGTTTTATTTTTGGAAATGATCCTATCTTCTGGTGAAATAAACCTTTTTGGGACAACCTTTTTGTTTCTAATTTTTCCTTGAAGTCTGTTTTTTATGATGTTTTGTGTATAAAGCACCAGTTTTTTTGGGCTTTTACAGTGGATATCTTTTGCCATCTTTTTACTTACCTGTTTATGTTTTAGCTACATCTCTAATATACAGAAAGGTTTAAAAACAACACAGCCTGATAACAGTCTTTTAACAGCAGCATTTAGATTTTGTCCTATTTGTTCTGCTAATATTACATTTCTTTCCTCTCCTTTCTTGCTGTCCTTGAGGTTTCTCTTTTAATTCCATCGCCCCCTCTACTACTTTGGAAGTAATGCATAGTATTTCTATTCTTTTGTACATGGCCATAAAACCTTTAAGTCATCCTTAACTTATCAAATCAAAGTTACTTATCTTTGCTCTTTGCCAGAACAATTCAAGGACTTGAGAATACTTTAAGGCAGAAAAGCTCCCTCTGAACCCAGGTGTGGGATATTCATGCAATCATGCATTTTAGTTGTAGCTTGGTTTTCGTTTTTTTATTCAGCACATCATTATTACTCTTTATAGCACATATTTAGATTTGCCCACATATTTACCACTTTTGCTTGTTATTCTTTCTTCTTTCATCTGGGTTATTTATCCTTTAAAGTTATATCAATACCACTTTCTTTTGTGAGTGTCTATTGGTGAAAAAGTTTTTCAGCTTTGGTTTGTGTGAAAATTATGTCTTTATCCTAGTTCATGCAATATTTTTTTCCTGGACTTTTGAGATTGACAGGTTCTTCTTAGAACATTTTACAGCCTTCTGACTTCCATTATTACTGTTGAGATGTCAGATACTGAGGTGTCTGTATTTCTTGGAGGATGGTTTTTCTCTGTTTTAAAGATCTTCTCCTTGTCTTTGGTGTTCTGCATTTATCACTGTGGTGCTTCCAGGTTTAGATTGATTTTTATTTTCCCTGCTTGGAATTCTTCTGGATCCCTCAATATGTGGATTTTTGTTTCTGCCTTTTATCAGTTCTCAAAGTTCTTGGTTATTAGCTGCTTTTATATTGACTTTCCCCCATTCTCTCCTTTCCACTAGGAATTTAGTTAGACCTAAGTTAGATCTATTTTGTGTCACTTAACCTGTCATGTTCTGTTCTTCGGTTGGGTGTCATCTCCAAAATCTGTGTTCCAGCTCACCTCATGCTCTTTCAATTGTATCTAATGTTCTGCTAAACTTACATATCCATAGTTTACAATTTGATTATATTTTTTCATTTCTAGAATGTTATCCATGTGCGTCATTTTTCATAATCACTTGCTTTTTCATTTGTCAAGTTCTTTTAATATATAAACATATTAACTTCATTTCTGTTGTGTGCTAATAATTCTAGTATCTGAGGTCTTCGTAGATGTATATATGGTATCTAATAATGTCCCTGCTATTTCTTACTTTTGGTACTTGGTTTTCTTGTATATTTTGTGGTTATTTTGGTTGCGAGCTTAACTATTTTTGGACTTTATTTCTAAGGGTAATTTGAGGCCTGGGTTGAAGATGGGTTCTTTTAAGAACGACTTACATTTGATTCTGCAAAGTGCTGGAGAAATCTACAAGCTGGGGATACTTTAACTTCATAGCCTAGGGTTTTTGACCATTCAGATAAAATCAAATTGGAATGTAAACTCATGTGAGGGATGGTTAATTGTTAAGAATTATCAGAGGGAAATGCCCCTGGCGCTGCCTACCACTATGTTTTGAGATAGGCAGTTTTCCTTGTAGTTTTCTAAAGGGGAGTACTTCATATTCATCTTTACACTGAGAGTTAGCCTTTTGGGGTTTCAGGCTTCTATGGGGAGGTTCTCCTATTAAATACCTGACAGGAGCCTTAGACTTTTTCTATTCCTTATGGTTGGGAAAGCTTTGAGAACAGATACTTGAATTTACTTGGTTCACCAAATATCCTTAAGAGGAATGCCACCTTCATGTTACCTCTTCTCTGAGTTTTCTCTTTCACTTAATCATTGATTTATGAGTATTTTTGCTAATTGACTAGTTATTGATATCATTAAAATATTAAAAAAAATTATTATACATTTTAGGATTTTTCCCAGTGGGAGTTTTGGGAAAACCTACACTGCCAGAAATAGAAGTCTCTCCTATGTGGGGTATTTTCCAGAAACTGTATGGGATCTCACTCTACATGTAATAGTCCTTTCCAGATTGCTGTGTCAGTAAGTAGTGTATTCAAAACTATTCCTAGTACTTGTTTGAATTCTAAGCCAGCAATAAAGGCCCGAACATTTTCACACTATTTCAGGGAAGTACTTCTAAAAGCATATCCGTGGGCCCTCTCTCCAGTTAAACAAACAACCACAGCAGATAAAAATGATAAAAACCAACCAATTAAAGTCTCTGGAAATTGTCCTAAGGTATCTACATGAAGAAATATTTTTCTCAAGATTTATCAAATCTCAGCATGAACAGCAAGCATCTGTGGCATGTGAGCTACAACCCACAACCTGCTCCCTTCTCTGGTACAAATACCCTCCTCTGAAGCTCAGCACAAAGGAAACTCTACCCTGTGTGGGTATGGGCAAGAAGATGGGGCTTCCCCTTACCACAGCTCCAAATATACAGGATTATGGTTTCTCCCAGGGAGGAGGAGACCACCAACACTGACAATTCACAGCTCTCACCCCTGCCAACTCTGTGGCAGAAGCTCTATTCTAGGCCAAGAAGCAGAGATGTCCCTTCCTCAGCCCAGCCTCTACTCATGGGGTGGAAGCTCTACCCCAGAAATAGCATTCTGAGAGCACTGACTCCCATTCACCCCACCCATCTTACTCACTGGTGGAGGGTTTATGCTGGGAGAGGCAAGCAGAGAAGACCAGTTGCTCCCATGCTCTCACAGTCCCCTTCTTGTAGATGAGAAGTATCATTCATAGAAAAGCAGGCCACTGTCCCTATACCACCTTCAGTGCAGGGAGAGATAGGACACAAGAACACAGGGCTCTGTAACTTTCCCTAAGGAGAACTAATTTATTTGGAACACAGTATGGGAAAGTTCAAGACTAAGGCACTGTTAGAAACAAGAGAAACTGTTGGTGAGCAGTTAAGAGTAGGCAGTAGCTCCATGATAGCAAAGTAGACCAGCTGAAAGCTTAGCAGAAAGAACAGGGAAAGGGACAGCTAAGAAGAGTCCTCCTGGGGTCAGAGGAGGCCTCAAGGACTGGCTGAAAGAGCATCCCTACAAAAAGGGCCCAACTGCAATCAGAGCAGACTGTAGAGACAATTTATGCTCCAGGGCCAAAAATAATAGCCTTCACTCATCTTCAGTGGTTCGCTCTAACAGCTAGAAGTGGAAACAGCAGAGACACAGCAGCCAGAAACTTAACAGAGATCAAGCCAAGAGGCAATGAAAGGGAGCCATCTGGAAGAATTTTGTAATTTAACAAAGGAAAAATAGGAATGTCACTTATAGCCCAAGGATGTGTCCTCTGAGGAGGGACAGAAGAGGCACAATGCAGGGGAAGAGACTTCACTGAATTATTCTTGCTAAATCACTAAGGAAATAAACACAAATGAGAAGCCAGTCAGGAATGGTTATGTGTAGTGAGTGGGTAAGGAGGATTAATTAGTACCCAGAAGTTGCTGTAATAACTACATTGTCCCATTGTGAACAAAAAACTATGATATATGCAAATGAACAAGAACATGCAATCTGTACACAGAAAAACACAGGAAAAACCAGACAGCAGACAACAGAAGTGATGCCTAAGAGTGCCCAGATGTTCGACTTAGTGGACAAAGACATGAAAGCAGCTATTATAAATATGATAATCTAAAAAACCATGCTTAAAGGATTATAATTACAATGTTTCATCAAATAAAGAATGTCAACAAAGAGGCTGAAATTATTAAAAAAAATGGAAATTCTTTTTTGCATTTTACAAAGTAAATTTATTTCCTTCAACATTCGTAAGTCAACACAGTACATGCAAGTAAGTAGGACAGAGGCCATTGGCAATTCTAAGAAAATCACACCGCCTAGCATGTGATAGACATCTGTCAGGCAAATGGCAGCATTCTGAAATTTAACTTTCAGTTGGAAAGTGATGGAAATAAAAATTAAACTAGACAGTTCACCATATAAAAACAATTTTAAATGAGGGTAACTGCAGTAATCTGCAAAACACCTATGAAACTTTAATAAATAAATGTGACCTAAATTGAACTGACAAGTTTTAATGGGCTACATGTAATTTACTTGTGTCCTGATTAAAAAAATGAAAGTTCTGGGGCTCAAAAGTAAAGAACCAAAATGAAAAATTCATCATAGGGCTCCACAGTTGGTTTGAGTTGGCAGAAGAATGAATGAACTTGAAGATACATTGATAGAGATTTTAGTCTGAAGGACAGAAAAAGGAATGAAGAGAAATGAACAGTGCCTCATAGAAATATGACACACCAGTAAGCACACTAACACACATGTAAAGTGTGTAATGTGTGTACCAAAAAGAGAAAGACCAGAAAAAAAATTTCAAGAGATAATGGCTAATAATTTCCCAAATCTGATTAAAGACATTAATCTGCACATCCAAGAAAATAAATGCTAAGTAGGATAAACACTATAATCTATACCCAGGCACATGCCAGAAATATGTTGAAAGTCTAGGAGAAAATCTTAAATGGAACAAGAGAAAAATGATTCATTATGGACCAAGTAAGATTAACAGCTGACTTCTCAGCGCAAACAATGGACCAGAGGTCAGTAAGATGACATATTCAAAGTGCTAAAAGAAAAAAATACCTGGCAGCCAAGAATACAACCAGGAAAAATATCTTTCAGAAACGAAGGAAAGTTTACCACACAAGCAAAAAAAAAAACCTGGTCGGACCCAGTGGCTCACACTTGTAATCCCTGCACTTTGGGAGGCCGAGACAGGCGGATCACCTGAGGTTGGGAGTTCGAGAACAGCCTGACCAACATGGAGAAACCCGTCTCTACTAGAAAAAAACAAAAAACAAAAAACAAAACCAAAACAATTAGTCAGGCATGGCGGTACATGCCTGTAATCCCAGCTATTTGAGAGTCTGAGGCCAGAGAATTGTTTGAACCCAGAAGGCAGAGGTTGTGGTGAGCTGAGATCATGCCATTGCATTCCAGCCTGGGCAACAAGAGTGAGACTCTGTCTCAAAAAAAAGAAAAGGAAAAAATCTTTGAAAAATGAAGAGGAAATAAAGACATTCCTGTGTGGACAACTAATGATGAAATCCACTGCCAGGAGACATGTCTTACAAAAAATACTGAAGTTCTTCAGGCTGAAAGCATAGGACTCAAGAGAGTAATCTGAATTTATACAAAAAACACCACCAATAAATGTATGTAGCTAATTATAAAACAGTATAATTGCATTTCCCCTTCTCTCTTAACTGATTAAAAATCATTTGACTAAAACAATGTGCATATAGCTATATTGTTGGATCTGTTAACATACAGAAATGTAACATTTGATAATAGCACAAAGGAGGCAAGTGGGGGTGGAGCTATATTGGAGCAAGGAAATCGCACTAGATAGTAAATGGAATCTGCAAGAAGACATGAAGAGAGCCAGAAATTATAAATAAGAGGGTTACAAATGAACTCTATAACTATACACCAGCTCTCCTTTAGTCTTTCAGTTTCTTTAAAAAGAGTTAAAGATGGTCATATAAAGTAATAATTACAACAACATGTATCTAAATAATAGAATGAAAAGGGTAGGAGAGGAAAGAATATATAGGATGAACAATTCTATATGCTACTGGAATTAAGATTATAAATCTGAAGTAGATTCTGATAAAATATAATCTCTATTATAAACACTAGAGCAACTACTAAGAAAATCAATTTAAAAAACATTGAAGACAATCATTAAAGAAATTAAAGTGTTATACTAGAAAATATTCACTTGCTACAAAATAAACCTGCAAAGGAAAACTGGACAAAGACATGGGACAAAGAAAACAAAAAGTAAAATGGCACATGTAAATTCAATTGTATTCATAAGACCATTAAATGTGAATGAATCAAACAATCCAATCAAAAGGCAGGGATTATCTGACTGGATTAACATCAATGATGACAACAATAACAACAATGAAGAATGAAATGTAATGATATGCTGACTATAGGAGGCACACTTTCGATTCAAACATATAAACAGGCTGAAAGTAAGAGGATGAAAAAATATGCATCATGCAAACTAAGGTTCTGGACTTACTATATTCACGAGACTAATATAGATTTTAACAAAATTTTAGAGAGAAAGAAAATGGGGTCAAGTGCTCACATGGCAAAGGAGCTAAATATACTATCGTGAAGTATCTGTTTTTGTCCTGATGAAATGTATCGAATAAAATAACTCCAGTGCCAGTATGTAGTGACAAGCAGAAAACTCTTATTTAGAGCTCTATTTTTCTTTTCCTCCCTCAGAATCTTCATTCAGATGTAAGGGAAGGGAATGGAAAGGAACAAGCTGACCAGATAAGATATCCTCACACAGTATAGAAGAGACGGAGCCAGATGGGATGAAGTGTGAAGTGGAGTAAACTGAGTAACTAGACCAGGACGTTCTAGCACTCATCTGAGAAACATGTACAAGCACCTGTGTCAGGAAGTCCCCAGAGGTGGCTGCCATTCATGCTGATGGAAAAGTGTGGGTGGCAAAGAACTAAGATCAATAACCTGGAGACAAGCTTGCTAACCAGTGAGCAACACCAGCTCCCTCATGGCGAAGTGCTCCAAGGACCAGCCGTCGTGCTGACAATGGGGCACGGCCACTGTAGTTGCTGGAGAAACAAAACACAAGACAGGTTGTTGCTCTCTCAGTCTCTGCAGCCTGCATCATGCAGAAGCTCAACTTACAGCACAGACCTCACCAGTCTCCACTTTTTTGCACTGTAACTGGGGAAGGTTACCTGTCTCTGTGGTGAGTAGGGGAAGGATCATGGAGGTTGGCTGCCATGGGGCATCACTGAGAAGGGCAGGAAAAAGGGTCCTACTAGCTCAGCCCCATTGCAACTGAAAAATGAAACTAGCTCTCAATCAAGAACATAACTCTATAGTTTTTCAGTAGAATCTTAAAAACAAAAGCTGGAAGCCAAATGGGTTCATTAAGCCTGACTCCCCTGGACTCAATCTGTTCCCTCATCTCCCCAAGCTTCTGTTTCACTGTCTTTAAATGGACGAAGAAAAAAGGTACCGAATTTACCGGGTTTTTGTAAAGATCAAATAATCTGTGTAATGAATTTGGCACTGTCTTTGGCATGGCTTCTGCTGGAGGACCTTCTTCCACCTTGTAGGAAATCAAGGGGAGGGCCCTGTATGCTAGGCTGTAACCTCTCTTCCTATGATGTCCACACTGTGAACTGCCAGCCCAGAGATGCTGCCTGCTGCCCCCTCATCCAGGGACATCCAGAGCAGTGCCCATCTGTGCCCAATTCTAGAGTGCTTCACCTCAAGGCAAGGGAGAAGAGGCGCTGGAGGATGCCAGATCTTGATCTTGTGCTCAGGGATGACTTCTCAAATCCTCCAAGTTTCCAAGGTGAGTCTGCGAAAAGGTGTGTGGATGCCACAGTCTGCTCTCACATGGATGACTCCCAGTGGTGATGGCAAATAGTGAGTTGGAGAGAGAACCTGTTAGGCATAGAACACGCACATGGGGGAAGCCTAGCTCAGGGGGCCACGGGAGAGGTGGAAGCAGCTTAGAAACTCCCTGGGCCCATTTTGTTATTGATGACAGTGAGTCAATATACAAATTAGGTCTTTTTACACCCTGGTTTCCTATTTAAAAACTGGGAAACTGGCTACAGTGAACTGGACATTCATTCTCACTTCTTACTATGCTGTTTTTGGACAGTCCCAGTAGAAAGATGAGGAAAAGGTAAATAAAAAGAGGAGGAAGAATCAAGCATGAGACTGAGAAAAATTAACTAGATGACTTGTCTTAAAGTGGAAAGACCCTCTGCATGCTGCATCATCATTCAATACTTTTAAAATTCACCCCAATACACATCTCAGTTGAAGAGGATAGCTCTATTACACATCTAGCCACCTTTAAGAACCTTTTGAATGTTAACAAATCATCTATTTAAAGCATAGGAGAAACTCCAGTTTGTCACACAGGCCACCTCAATCAAGTACTTAAAGACTACATGTTCAGCAGATGCACAGTCTCTAGAGAAAGAGACCCTAGACAGAGATACATGTGGTGTCACCAACACAGACTCTCCATTTCTGCACGGGTAGACTGGCAAGATGCCGCCTCAGACAACCATCCACATTCTTCCCGCCCCAAATTCCTTCAGCCTGTGCTGAGAACTGTACCCTATGCTTTCTCACATACACATTTTACAGAATGCCAAAGGGGCAGCTCAGGAGAGAAGAGATCTGTAAATGTTGGCTCATAATCACCCAGAATGCCTCTTCAGCAGAGGCTGCACCATCCAAGCAGGAGGAGGCAGAACAAAGCCAAGAGGAACCCACATGGAGGCTGCAAAGCACACCTCACCTTGCTCACGCAGTGACTGCATTAATTTGTATACAACACATTTTAGGCCTGTTGTACCACTAGTTAAAACCTATCAACCAGGCCATGGACATTCAGACCAGCTGGCTTGCCAGGAAAGAAAATGGTCGAGCAGTCAAGGATGGCCATGTTTTTATTAGCTCATGTGGCAGACAAAGTCTGTGCCCTTTTTTGAAAACCATGTGTGGGGCAGGGTGGAGTGTGGAGAACAGGAGAAGCAAAGTGGTCCTGGGAGACTGGTGGTGAGGATATGCCCACTTTGGCCTGGTCACAGAAGTTCTTTGTTTGACCAGGAAAGCTCATTGTTAGAAAACTCCAAGTTGAGTAATCTCAAACACTAATCCCAACTGAGAGGATAGGATGGGCTCCTTCTCCTCAGAGCTGTTCTAGGTCTCCACCCAGAAGAGACTCTTGTCTTAGGTTAAAACTGTAGGTCACAGACTGAGTGCCTAGGTCATTGGGTGCTAGATCACCTAGAATAGCTGCTGTTCAGTATCTTAGAGCTGAGAGCCGGACCCCCACAACCAGTGCAGAGCCTTCTTTCTCTTCCTAATTCCCACTGACAGTAGTAGGTAACAGTATGTCTTTCAGATGGGTCTTTTACAGAAGGTGGGATCCTCTCAGGCAAACTGTGAACTAGACTGGAGTCTTTCCCGCACTTGAAAAATAAGCAGAGGCCCAGAGTACTGAAGCGACTGGCCCTGTTGCACGCGTGAGGGACGAAGGATGGGCACCAGCACCCAGGTGTGGGCATGAGAACTCCAAGAGGAGGCCAGTGGCCTTTGCCACATAGGGATACAGCAGTTATGGAAGGCCTATTTGGAAAGCTTTCTTAAATCAACCCAGATAAATTTCCAGAGAGGCAAGGATATGAGCTCTACTTTCCAGGAAAAAGTTCTTTTCTCTGCCATGTGGATAACCTGGACCACCTCCCCGTGGTCCCTCACCAGCCTTGGATTTCCCATGGGAGGAGGGGTGACTAATCAGACTGGTAGAACTGGGAAGGACCTGCATTTACTGGGCCAGAACTGGGGGAGGAACACAAGAGTCAAACTAGAAGATGCCAGTGTGTGTTTTACAAAGGCTTTCCAGTTCTCTCTTCTCTCTCTGTTCCAATGGCTCCATTCCTGGATAGGACCCAAATAAATTAAGCTTATTTGGGTCCTAAGGGCCATGTTTGGAGCGGGAACTAAGAATTACTGTTAGGTTCTCTGTTCACCCCCAAGCCAAGCCAAGATATCCATGTCCTAATTCCTGGAACCTGTGACTATGTTAGGTTACATGGCAAAGAGAAATTAAAACTGTAGATGGAATGTGCTGTGGTTTTCTTGTATTCCCCAAATTTCATGTGTTGGAAACTTAATCCCCAATGTGGCAATATGGAGAGGTAGGGCCTTTAAGAGGTGACTGGATCATGAGGGCTATGCCCTCATGAATGAATTAATCCATTCATGAATTAACAGGTCAAGGAATTCATGGGTTATATAACATGAATGGAACTGAGGCTTTATAAGAGGAGGAAGAGTGTCCTGAGCAAGAATGTTAGTATGCTCCGCCCCCGGCCATGTGATGCCCTGCACTGCCTCAGGACTGCAGAAGCCCCATTCGCAAGAAGGTCCTCACCAGATGCACCACCATGACCATGGACTTCTCAGTCTCCAAAACTGTAAGAAATAATTCCTCATTAAAATAAATTAAATAGTTTCAGGTGCTGTGTTACAAGCAACAGAAAATGGACTACAAAAGTTGCTAATCAGCAGACCTTGAGATGGGCAAGATTATTGTGGATAATCTGGGTGGGTTCTTGTAAGTGGAAGGAAGAATCAAGAGAGAAAAAATCAGAGATGGCAGCATGAGGATTTGCTGGCTCTGAAGATGGAGGAAGGGGCCATGAGCCAAGTCAAGTTGGTGGCCTGTTCAAGCTGGGAAAGGAGACAGATTTACCCCTAGAGCCTCCAGAAGGAACACACCTGCTGACACCTTGACCCTAGCCCAGTGAGTATGCTGAGTTCCTAATCTACAGAACTTCAAGATAATAAATATGTGTTAAGCCATGAGGTTTGTGGTAACTTGTCATCTCAGCAACAGGAAACTAACATTCTCCAGCTCTGCTGCTAATAATGAACACAGCTCAGGTGTGAGTGCTTGCCACATGCTGCTTATTGCCAGCATGCGTGCAAGCCCATTTAGTCCTTTACAGTTATCCTGTGAAGTGAAGTGGCGTGTGGAAGGTCACACAACTCTCAGTGGCAGAGCCAGAATTAAACCCAGTGTTATGTTGATGTGAAACTCAAAATCCTGTTTCGCGTCTTGTGTCTACCTAGTGGCTACTGCAGACATTTACTTATAAAAGCAGTGAACTTGCCCTCACTCAGATTTGCCTTTAAATTTTTGGCTCTGTCCCTTCCAGTCTGTAAGAACTTGGGCCGTCTACTCCATTCAGCTGAGGCTGGTATTTATCCACAAAACAACAGTAATGTGCCCTGCCTCTGTGGATGGGTGTGACAATCCAAGAAAGCGTCACCGATATCTGATACATAGTGGGTGATCCGTATACATGTGTTTAGTCTATATCTGAAGGAGAAGAATCTGGGTATTCCGTCCTCAAAAGAGGAACTGCATCTTTTCACTTCATTTTACAGCACTTGCAATGAAGATTTAACATTTTCCTCCCCAGGGAGGCGACTGCATGGATGATGACTAATTTTGCAGCCTTTCTCATTAGTCGGGTCATTAGGAAGGTCAGTCTGTATGTATCGTTTTCAGAGCATCCTGAGGAGGGTGACCAGATGCGAAAGTTGAGTTGAAAGAGAGTGAGCTGGTAACAGTAAAACTGAGCCTAGAGAGGTAAAGACTAAGGCAAGAAACAGTCTCAGGTCTTGACGTGAGAAAGATATTCTTTGCAGCTCAAGAGATTCAAATTAGGATCAGTAGATGAAAGCTGTTCAGAGGCAGATTTCAGTTGGATACAGAGGGAAGTTGGCTAGGGAAAAGAAGTCTTCCGCAGTGAGCCGCACCGCCTCTGAGGCACTCCAGTCCCTGTTTGTGGGGTGAGAAAGCAGACACCTCCAATGTATACCAAGGGGTTTCCGCAGACCCCGAGGCTAGGCTTGATGGCCACAAGGTCCAAAAAGCCAACTTCTGAAAAGCTCTTATTGTTTCTAGTAGGGCCAAACACATGCTGGCTTCATCTCCTGGCAGAGAAAGAGAGGACTCCATAAAGGCAGGGTTCTAATGCTTCCAGGCAGAACTCTGGTGGAGACTCCAATTTCCACTGCCCATAGCAGAATAGAACAATGTGAAAATCCCAAGTCAATTTAGAGACCAGACAGCAAAGGATCTATATAAATACAAGCGCCATTAAGCTTAAAGTAGAAATAGCTTTTACTTTCTGTCCCAGGAAAACCTATACAGCAGCTGCCACACCATGCACACCCAACTCAATCCTAAATGAGCAGATCACAGAGAATGTCACCAAGAAAAAGACCACAGTAGTGTGGTGTCAACTCCCTCTGGCCCATGGCCCTGGGCGGTGGATCCTCTGCAGGCCATTGGGTCGGTCGTTGTATGGGGAAGGTGGGCCCAATCCTGTCCTTTGGGGGTGCTGTAGCCATAGACACATTTAATGGAGAAAGTCATTACTGTAAAGTTATACAGCCTCGAACCTCTGGCATCAGCACCATCTGGACTTCCGTCACTCCCGCTGAGCCGGACGCTCTGGTTATGGGGCTTGGGCATCTGAGTTGAACCAGCCCTTGGGTGCTGCTTTTCATGCAAACGTTGGGGAACCATGGGTCTCAGGACCCTCCAGTACAGTGCTGTCATATTGCACCCTGACTGGGTGAAAACTAGAGTCTGAGGCATGAGAAGGTGAAAGGATGCAGGGAGGGAGAAGGTTCTGTTTGTGACAGGAAAGAACAACAGTCACTGGGCACCAAGGAACCCAGAGTCAAAAACTAGGTGAGAGTGTAAGTTATGGTTCTGTTCTTCCCAAGGAAAAGAAATCCCACGGAAGCAGTGTGTTGAAGAGCAAGGATTTGCTTGTCCGCTTCCCTAGAACCTGTGAGGGTGACTGGCGCAGTGGGCACTGAGCGGGCATCTGCAGAGTGGAGGAAAGGCTGGTGGATCCACCGAAGGCTGAGGTGGCTGAGCTGGGTGCCCTCTCTGGCATATGTGGAGACTACAACCCGGTGGACGAGGGCCTCGCACTGTACCTCCTGCCGCCGCCTTGCTGGGGCTTCTCATGACGTGGCTGAGCATGGGGCTCTGCCCAACACCCTCATCAAACCCTTCCCTTCTGCTTATGTGCCACAGAAAATGGGGAGAGCCTCAGAAACAGTGGGTGAAGCCAGTTGCTGCTGTGGTGCCACCAGGCCAGGGCCAGAGAACCCCTCCGTTCCTCTGACACAGCTCCAAGGCAGGACCACTGAGGGCGATGCTCAAGTCTCAGGCAGGAACGGGGCAGAGGCCAAGTGAAAGCCCATCCTGGAGAAGCCCACCACCCCTTGCCGGAATGGGAGTAAGGCACGCACGGGGGCTCAAGTGGGTTTCTTATTCTTTGTAGAATGTGGGATGGTGAACAGGATTCTTGATTTGGGGCGACACTGCCTGCTGAGGAACTTTGGTATTCCTCCATCCTTCTAAAGATTTCAGATCCAAAAACAGCAATGAGGAGCTTATCCATCTCTCACATTCACCACTTCTTTATTAAAAAAAATTCCTGGCCGGGTGCGGTGGCTCAAGCCTATAATCCCAGCACTTTGGGAGGCCGAGGCGGGTGGATCATGAGGTCAAGAGATCGAGACTATCCTGGTCAACACGGTGAAAGCCTGTCTCTACTAAAAATACAAAAAATTAGCTGGGCATGGTGGCGCGTGCCTGTAATCCCAGCTACTCAGGAGGCTGAGGCAGGAGAATTGCCTGAACCCAGGAGGCGGAGGTTGCG